AGTCTCGATTCCTCCAATATTACACCTATTTAACAGGTCTACGTTAGATGTCCTATCTTGAAGCTTAACTCCACAGTTTGCACGCAGACAGCTTTTATGGAAAACATCTAGCTGGCGTATATTAATTATATATATATATATGCACATATATTAAATACATACATATATATATATATATATATATACATATAAATGTGCATATATAAACATATATATATATGTATACATAAGGTCTTTCTGAAAAATAACAGGACTGGCTGTGCTGTGTGAGCTATGGGTGAAAGACGTATTGTGTTATCATCTAACATATCTTGGGTGTATATAACTGTAATCGTAGCTTTCTGCAACCATTTCATTTTTTTTTCACATGTGGCGGGACAAATCCTGGCTGTTTCACCATGACAATGTACCTGCTTTCAGTGCTCTGAGCATCTGACAGTTCCTGACCAGAGAAGAGGTCATCATACTAGAACAAGCTCCGTATAAATTTGATCTTGCTCCATGTGACATTTTTCTTTTTCCCAAGCTCAAGGGGATCATCCAGGGAACCTGTTTTGAAAGGCATGGTAGCCATCAACAGGGGCCGTAATGATGGAGCTGAGGAGTATTCAAGAAGAATCCGTCTAGCAGTTCATAGAGAAATGAGAAAAAGAGAGATGGAAAAGTGCATTAGACTCAATGGGGCTTACTTTGAAGGGAAAACCATGTAGTTTGTCATTTGGAATTGAAATAAATTGTTTGTGACACCAGTCTCATTACTTTTCAGACAGACCTTGTGCCTACATACATATATATGTGAGTATATATATATATATATATATATATATATATATATATACACATATTTTAATTTATTTCCTAAATGTTATTTTTAGTGGATACTCATATTTGAGGAGATGCTCTGTTTTTATTATTAAACACTATATTTATTTATCTATTTCCATCTACTTGCCTGAATATTCAAGAAATCTTGTTGGAAAAATATGTGCCTTCCATCAGGATTTGTTGAATGTTCTGGCTGGGAGAGAAAAATAAATAAATATACTATTTAATAAATAAATAAAAACAGAGTGTCTACTCAAATATGAGTAACCATTAAAAATAATATTTAAAGAAATAATCCATTTCCTAAAAGCTATATAACATATATATATATATATATATATATATATGTCTCTGAGCATTCATATGCAACCAAAATAATTTCCCTTTCAATGGATTTCCATCTTGGCAATAATATCCATGTTGCTGGCTAAGAGATTTCCAATGACTGTGTTTTTCGACCACTGTTTTGTTGGCCTATCAAATAGCAACTGCTGGGTTTTGTAAAGTTAAATGTGTTTGCCAGTAATGTAGTCATTAGCAAACAGTATACATTGCAAACAAAATACCATTACCTAATTCTTCACAATTGCCATGTCTATATTTTAAGAAGCCCAAATTTTTTTGGCTTCAGGCAGTGAGGAAGATGATGGGTTGAGGACATATGAGTGTGTCAATTGTGCCTGCTGACACAATTACTGCTTGTAAGGTTTGAACCTGAGCCAGTTATGTTACCTGAACTAGTGCCAGCAAAATTTCAAATGAGAAAATGAGAGTTTTAACCTCAAAGACTTTCTTTTTGGTAGTTGTAACATTTGATCAAAGACCGTGAAGCTAAAGGGGTGGGGGTGGTTATGGTTTAAAAAATATTTACCACCCAAATAAATCACACTTTCTTTTTTTTTTTTTGTTGTTTTTTCATCTGACATGACTTGGCATTTTCTCCCCACTAAACAAAAAAAGTCTTTTTTTTCTAATCATTTCACCCCAAGTAAAGCCACTATGACGTAAGGGGTTACTGAGTGTTAGAGAATATGAACAAAAAAAAAACTATTAAGAAGAGAGAACAATAAAAGAACAGGAATTAAGAAGACAGTAGATAATGATTGTCATTGCATTTAAATTTTTGAGGATCAAAGTTGACTGGGAAGCAATTAAGCCGGAAGAGAGTTCCAGAAGTGAGAAGCACGAGAGAAGAAACTGTTACGATAGAACTGCTAAAATGTTAATATAATTTCTATTTTGGACAATTGAATTAGAGTCTTCAAAACTTTGTTCTAATACTCAAGTTTCTATTCTTCTTGCAAATGGACGTAATTCTTTTTGCAGATGAAATGGTTAATTTTTTTTAGTTTTCCTGATTTTTTCAAGATATTTTTTATTCAAATTTGACACTGACAATCTCATTGCACTTTTATGTCTTTTAGCCACCAAATAAATCTTTTATTAAACTAATAAGATTTTTGGGGGGTGGGGGTTGACATTGGATTCATTAAAGACAATCATTATAATGCCAATTTCATAAAAAAGAAGTCAATTCATAAATTATAAAAATAGCAATAAAAAAATGAGACCATTTAGAAGTACTTAAAATTATCAAAAAAGTTTAATTTCTTCTTTTCCTTTTTTCATTTTCTAGTTCTTCTTTTCCTTCTTATTCTTATTCTTTTTTCTTTTTCCTCTTCTTTTTTCTTTTCTTTTTCTCCTACTTTTTCTTTTCTCCTTCCTTTTTTCTTTTTCTTTTATTTTTTTCTATTTCCTCTTTCATTTATTCTTCTTTTCCTTCTTTTCTTTTTCTCCTTGTTCTTTTTATTCTTTTTCTTCTTCTTGTTCATGTCTTGTAATGTCGATGAAGAGTATTCCTTGACTTGCAATCTGTTAACATCATATGTTGTTTTTCAAGATTTCAATTTTAAGTGTCAATTCAAATACTTTCTTTTAACAAGCTGATCTAGTTTCATGTTATAACTAAAACCAAACACCATCTTTTAATTTCCAAAAGAAAGAAAGAAACTTTTACTTATTAATTGGCAGCATCTAATCAATAATAAAATACCTGTACTTGGAAGAGATTTTAAAACAAACATCATGTAGACCAAATATTAACTGAAGAATTTGCAGCATCTATGATTCTTTATATGAATTAAATTCATTAAGAAATTCACCTTTCATTAGATATTGGAAATTAATTTATTGTTTGACTTTTTCAATTTATATTGAAAATTGTACTTATGTTGGTGATGAAAGATGTTATATACCATATATTCTCATGTATCACCTTTGAAGACCTAATTTGGAAGCTAATTTGACTACTGTAAATGGATATATAGTTTGGTCAACACCATAGCCAGCAGTACATATCCTAATTTCATATACTGTGTATGATGTGACCCCCTCAAAATTACCTTCAACATTAGGTCTTCAAAAGTCAACATGATACATGAGAATATATGGAAAATACAATGTTTCAGCCCAGTACCATCTGGCTATCTTCAGGTGTCCTTTATTGTGATTGGGATGAAACATTATATATATGTTGATTATTATATGATTTATTATTTATTTACATGCAGACTATTGTCCCTATCTTTGTTGTTATCATCACAACATTTTGGCCATTGTGTCCTCTGACCTTTGTCAGGTTCTTGTTGGTCTGGGTATTTTGAACTGAACACTTTATTCAATATACAAGGTTAGATTGTTCTCATTCCATATTTTAGTCCTACTTAGTTACTGCTCACCCCTTTTCCACTGCACAGCCCAAGATAGAATACACAATGACTACTTCATCAAATTCACAAACTAACTCTATAATTTACAAGGCTAGATTATTTTTGTTTCAGTTCATTCCTGCCAAATGCTGTTGATTATTCCATTACCTGATCTAAGGATTAGTCCTGGGTATAACAACAAATTACATCTGGCAGCAAGGCTTCTAACTGGAAAATTAAAGGTTTTGTGGAGCAGGAACCACTTAATTGCTGTTATTCCTAGGTCCACTCTGACCTGGGGTGGTAGCACCTCTTAGGGTCCCAACTATGGGCAAATAGGGAACTCCCAAAGCAAAAACAAAAACAAAACACTATGTAAGTATAAAAATACATTTTATAGTAAAAATACCAGCAATCCATTTTTATATTAAAAAATTACCAACAATATATATTTATAATAAAATGACCAACAATAAATTTTAATTGTAGCTGAAAGAATACAATTGCTTTCAAAATAAATTTAGTTGAAGTCATAAAACTGTGTTCAAAATATTTAGATTTTGGCAGTAAATAACCCATAAAGGTGTTGATAAGCTACTAAACAAAATCACTTAATCATGATCTGTGTGGTAGAAGAGTTGAGGCAGAATGACTAAAACACAAGATTTAGAAACATGCCAAAAATAATAAATGCCAAAAATTTAAAATATTATTATGGACTACTTGTAATTACATGCATGAGTCCCAGTATAAATAGTTATAAATAATTATTAATTTTATCATTAGGATATTTTTGCATTATATCAAGTATTAAGAATATAGTAACTCGGGTGCGCAAATTGGTGGAGAGAATTATTAATGGTAATGATCTGACTTTGAATCCATGGTTATTTCCCTTTAACCCCCTCCCTGGACCTTCTTTGCTGCAGGGCTGATTGTGCATTTTTCACTGAGACTTCTCTTTGCAGATATTCATTCCAAAAATGTTGCCCAGAGAAAAAATGTTTGGGAACCACTGATCTAGGGTCTGAACTCACTATCATTAGATAACAGCAACACCTAATTATCCAATGACTAGATCTACTATGTTGCCATTCCCAAAGACATTAGTGCTGTCATTTTGGTGGCTTTAAATCAGATGGTTTTGACATTTTGGTTATTATATGGCTTCATTGATAATGTACTTCTGATCCCAAAACACAGAACCCATCACTTTCATTATGAAGTGTGCTGCCTTAAATTTATTCCTGCATGAGTCTTAGTTGTACCACTTAATTTAATTTTCTTTTGTTCTCTGATCTATGGGTGGGACATGAACCCAGGTCTCATCTTCTCTGACTATCCTGCTTAGGAGAGGCACTGACCATATTGTGTAAATCTAGAAACACCTGGACAGTACAATCACCAAAGTTAAGCAAACCGGGTCAGTACCTAGATGAGTGACCACTTGGGAATACCAAGTGCTTACAGCTATATCACATTGAAACATCGGTTCCATATGATCACCAAAGTTAAGCAACATCGAGCCTGGTCAGTACCTAGGATGGGTGACAGCTTGGGAATACCAAGTGCTCTAAGCTTGAATATATGAGTGATATGGCTTACAGTTACATCACATTAAAACACTGGTTCCCATATGATTACTGAAGTTAAGCACTGTTGAACCTGGTCAATACTTAAATGGGTGACTGCTTGGGAATGCTAGGTACTGTAAGCTTGGATGCGCCAGTGGTATGGTTTCACAGCCACTTCAAATAGAAACACTGGTTCCCAGTCAAGCATGTTTTGTTAAATAAAACAGATACAATGTGCCTACTATTTGTTTTGAATATTTTTCAATGACTGATGGATTAATTTTCATATATTAGAATTGAAAATACAATACCACATTCATGTGACATCACTAACATTTAAATTTGAAAATAACATCACATGCATGTGACATTTAAATACATTCAAAAATTAAAAATAGCTACCATTATATATTTAAAACCAAGGTAAAACTTATCTGATAATTTAAAATGAATGGACAATAATTCTTGACAATAACTGAAGTTTGTCAAAAGCTGATGCAAATTGTGGAAATTTCCTTTATGCATTCAATTCACTTCAGTTCATCCATCAATTAGAAAAAATGCATTTTAAAATATAACAACTTTTGGTACAATTTGTGTATCTTTTTCAATAAAACAAATATATATATATATATATATATATATATATATACATATATTACAAGTCATTGTGACCGAGGGTTTGAGTATACTGGCCTTGTTCAAAAAACTGATGATGCCAGATTATGCACTCTCATGAAGAAACTAAGGTCCATATAGCATAGTTGCTGGATAAACCACAGGTAATAAGGATTTTCCTGCCACCCTAGCAGACAATAAAGAACTCAATAATGTAAAACAGACACTAGTTAACAATGGCTTCCCTAACCACTTTATAGACCACTAAATTAGACTATTTTTTCCCAAAGTAAATAACAACAATAGTGAACACATAGTCAAAAATAACATAAATATTTTCTACAAAAACCAAATGCAAACAAGATGAATCTTCACTAAGAAATATCATAAAGAAAAATCCTACCAAAGTTGACATGAAAAAAAAAAATTGAATAAACTATCTACTACAAAAAATTTAAAACGGTTAACCTTATCCTCAAAAATAACAATATACTAGTAAGATCAAAATTACAACGAACATTATCTATGAGTTCAAATGCTCCTCAAGGAACCATGTTCCTTATCAAACTGAATTCATAAATAATTACATCAGTCACATGACTACATGCCTTTCTAATCTGACCACAACTCTATTAGAACCCATTTAAATACACAAACTTACCAGACTCCATCTGAAACATATTAGTAGAAAATACAAATATAATAACCTCATCCACATGTAAAAAAAGATTAGAAAAATAATGGAAGCTTTAATAATAAAAAAGAAAAAACCAACACTTAATAATATATACAAGCATTTGTATACAAATACAAATATATATATATATATATATATATATATATATATATATATATATAGACTCTATAGTGTAAGAAAAATAGTGCCCAATATTAAATAATAGAGCTATTTAATATGTTAATGAATATACATAATACCTTACATTGATTGCACAACTCTGAGTTTCATACCACATATTGTGCAGTTGATGTAAGGTATTTTTATATATATATATATATATATATATATATATATATATATATATATATATACGATGAAATATATTTTTACAGTATGCTATATTTATAGGTTAAGGTGCTTAATGTCAGGGATAGAGCATATGTTTATATAAAAGTGGACATTGAAGTTAACATCCAGAGGTGACAGTCTATTTCATGCTCAATGTAATAGTCAGGCCATGTCCTTGTAGAGTAGACCATGGCCTGATGAGTGTGTTTAGCATGAAACAGATTGTCACCTGTGGATGTTAACTTCAGTGTCCACTTTTTATATATATATATATATATATATATATATATATATATATAAACATTTGCTCACTGCTAGAAAGCTATTTTTCAAATATCATTGAAAACAAAACAAATATTCAAAGATTATGGATTATTTACTTAATTAAGGAAATACTTATTTAATAATATTAATAAATAACCAACAGAGAATAAGCACTCATCAAACGTACTGATACTTATCACCAATATTCATAAAACCTATACTGAGGACATGCAAGATCCAAATTTTTGCAAATGATGTAACCAAATATTACACATTAACTTTCAAAATTTATCAAATTCATCATGCATTTAAAAGTACACTAATGCACCCAATTTTTTTAATTCACACTTAAATTACCGTAACATTTCAAGAATTAAAAGCACCCAGATGCCATGTGTTAAACACATGACAACCACACAAAATTAATACATATATACATATTAACCCCTTCCATACCAATTATATTCGAAAAAACTTCTCATTCTCGGACAAATTGTTTCATTTGTTTTTAATATAGTAACTAAGAAACTAAGACACCATGAAGTAGCTGAGCAGTGGCTAACACCTCTACCAGATGTTTAAGTTAGCAACTGGATTCTTTCACGCTAAAAAGGGCATAAAAAGAATCAAGATTGACATAAATATGTCTATATGTTGTTTTTGTGTTATGTTTTGGATGTGTTTTGTCCATCTCTGTAAAAGACACCTTCAGTAAAAATGTATAGGGAAGGGGTTAACATCATAAAGTAAACATGTGACATCAACATAACCAATAAAAATAAAGTTTCATGCTGCAATATGGTTCACTGTGGTAAAAGAGTTCAATGCAAGCCAGAATCATGTCTTCTTTTATTCAAGCATTTGAGAAGCAGTTACAAATTTTTAATCTTTTAGAGGTTGCTGAGAAGTCTTTGAGAATCTGAATAATTATTTTGTAGAATTGCTGTTCATGTTAGACATGACACTTCAGTGTTGCTTCGATGTTGGCAACAGCAGTCAAATGAACATTTTGACACCTATAGACTAAGTTCTGGATGGCCACATAGCACAGATGTTTGCCAGGATTGTAAGGAAAGCAGTTGCAGACTCTATGGCGTCCACATTACAAATCGGAAGAAAAGTGGCCCTAGGAATGTCTACATGAACAAAGTGGAATTGTTTTCTTACAACAGAACTACAGACAACCTTATCTCTAGTCAAACTTCTTGCTTATGCCTTAACAATGTTGCGTATATTTCCAATGGTGTCATGTGAAGGTCACATGCAAGATCAAAGATATTCTGTCACATTCAGACATAAGAATATTATAATTTGCATGTGTAACATAGGCCTGAGGAGTAACTTATCCAGAGTGTATTCATCCATAGCACACAGGTTCAAACCCTGGCATAATACTAATAAGTGCTATGAGTATATCTGGTAAAGATCTTCATTTGTGATTTTCTAGTGCCAGTCTATAGGGCTTGATAGAGGATTCTCTTCTTTAAGACATGAAAATATGTTTTGGTGGGAGCTGCCCAGACCTCACTCTCCAGCCTCTCAGAAGAAAGAAAAATATCACTAACAGAAAGTAAGAAATATATTTATATTTAGACACAGCAGCCATTCCTTTTGTTTACAGAAGGAAGGCTGCTTAAACTTAATATAAATGGTCTCAAAAACTGTCAAATGCACTCTGCTAATTGCTGTTAAAAAATCTTTGGTGAAAGATAAGGCATGAGTTTGATTATTGTTATTCTTATCTTTTGTTGATGACCATGCATACTGTCTTTTTGCAGTTAATAGTTAGTCCTCGTAGGTGACAAATTATTCTCCACTCTCCAACATCTCTCTCACAGGTGCCTCCCCCTCTGCTCTATCACTACTTCCATGGAAAGTGCTCGAACAACCTACATTCCTTGGTTCCACCAGGTCTAACCTGCATGGCAAAGACCTGCCATGCCATTTATATAGTAGCAAACTACACACATTGCCTTCATATTCCATCAGTGAGAAATAAATTGCACTTGAACTGCTTTTTTCTGGGAACCACTGCTCTATGGAACCAACTCAGGAGAGGTTGTTTCCCAATCACTACAGTCTTAACCTATTCAAGTCTGAGGTTAACCGTTATCTTCCCACTTCTATCTGCACAATTTGCCGGGTGAACTTTACTGTAAAAAGGAATAAATAAATAAAGGATTGAGAGATTTGAAACAACAAAAAACAATATTTAAAATTTTGCTTGACATATTCATGATGACATGATACCGTTTCAGATGAAACAGCTCCAAAACAAACAGATTAGCAACAAAGATGAAGATTGTCCCAGAAATCCTGAAATATAATTTTTGATGAGAAATACTCTCCAACCATGAAATGAAGTAAAAATTTTGAAAAAAACAATTTTCATATGCAGCATCTGAATCAGTTCAGTCATCTATGATTGGTTAGATTTCTATATCTCTATACTCCAAAAATTCCACATTATATTGTTCTTTATTTTACAACTTAGAAACACTTCTACATTAGGCATCTGGCATCAAGGCCTTTGATCAGGAGATTGGATATTTTCAAGAGCATGGAACCACTTCTTAATTACTGTTGTTCCCAGGTCCACCTGACCCAGGGTGGTAGCATCTATTAGGATTCTAGCTATTGGCATATGGTGAACCTCCAAACAAAAGCAAGACACTATGAAAGTATAAAAAAAACATTTTTATAATAAAAATACCAGCAATTCATTTTTATATAAAATTTACCAATACATATTTATAGTAAAATTACCAATACAATTTATCTGTAGTTGAAGGCATACAATTGCATTCAAAATATATTCAGTTGAAGCTATAAAATTGTATTCAAAATATTTAGATTTTGGCATCAAATAACCCATAGAGATGTTGATATGATGCTAAATAAAATCAAGCAAACAACAAACATGTAAGAACTCTTTCATGACATTAATTCATCTAATATCTTACAATTTCTTAAAGAAATCAAAATGTATTCTAAAATATCACTTCAACAAAACTACAACTTCAAATGCTCATATCACCACCTCTAATAATTATATGCACAAAAGCTGAGTATCATGTACCAAGTATTTAATTGTGAAAGCAGAATAACATATATCATATTTTTATTACTTCAAAACTCCCAAGAAAATTAAATTTCAGTATTAAACTACCAATAAGGAGTTGATATACTGTTAAACAAACAAATCAACTCAAATCCTACATTAGAAAAGAAA